TAATTTAGAGGTATTTTGCATTTTGTGGAATACAAACCACTAAAACTAATCATTGTCATTAACATCACTAGACATGATGCCATCTCCAAGATGGAATCACACCCTTGATTTACAAAGTGCAGGTGATGAGAATTTATTCCAACAATGCATCAGTTGCCATTATGTGTGGTTGAAGCAATTTAAGTTTTCTACTGTGAGAAGTGTACAATGATGCCCAAATTGTGGAAGTTGTTCCTTATGTAGGAATTCTGACCGTTGCTTCTGCTGATAAATAACAAACTTGTTTCTTGTATAAAAGAAGTGGTATTTATTTTTCTGAATCTTACTTTAGTTATTGCAGTGGCTTCTGATTTTTGTGTAAAAGTATGTGCTTTCTTTGGAAAGAAAATTGTAAAAATGCAAATGGAAGGAAAGAGAAGAATATATATGCTTGCATGTGCATGAAATTTGTATTTCATTTAACTAGAAAGTCACTGTAAAATCTTTACAAAACATGAAATCAGCTACCCTGAAATTATATATATTAAAGAATTATGTACATTTAATAAAACCCACTGGTTTACTAGGTGGTAAACACATCAGTATAAGGCAAGTACAATCCTATGTAACATGGCTTAAATATTGAAGGGAAACAGTTTTCTTCTAATTTCCATTCCCACATGAACCCACAGCGTGCATTCTCATCTCCTGTTTTTGAGGGCATGGTTGTAATCATGGGTCTTCTCTTAACTTATGTAGGGACTCTCAGATTTGCCAGTTTAGCAGTCAAGGCATTGCTGTGCCTTCAGATTCCAGGGAAATATAAGCTGTAGATAACGAAGAGCTTTAGATAGCAAAGTAGACGTCAGGTCTAGCCTGACTTCCTACTTTTAATTTATTTGCTGTCAGACTCTAAGTATCTTTCAAAGACCTTTTCAGAACTATCACACTCTGGCTTCTTTTCCTGCTCTGTAGAAATATCTAATTCCTTGTTTCCTGTTACTTCCTAGTATATCATCCCTGACAGACAGGCAACACGATGGACTCTTGAATCAGCTCTACTCAGCCCATTGCATTGCAGAAAAAAAAGTGTCTTTATGTGTGTAAATGCAAGAGAAGAATATATGTGTGAAATTTGTATTTCGTTTAACAATAAGAGACAGGAAAAAAAGGGAAGAAAAGAAACATTACCAATGTTTTTAAAAAGATGATTTTTGTATAGTTCTTAAAGGTTAGTATGACTATGCTAGAGAAATTGTGTGACTCAGCTAGAGAAGTTCAAGGAACTTTCTTTTGTGTAAACTATTTTTGGATACACGTAAACTAGCAGCTGCAACTATATAATTCATATTTATCCCCTCTTTCATAGATATGTACATTGCTTTATACATATATGTGTATGTATATATATATGCATTTTCTTCTTCACCCTTAAACTAAAATCCATTGTATCATTCTTTATAGGACACTTGATTCTTGTTTAAAAACTCAGGAGACACATTAAAGTATTATAATTGAGCTGAAAATGATACTTGGTCTTTTCTGCCAAAGTGAAAACCAGAGTTTTTTTGTTTAGAACCAAATTCAGAACAGCAATTTTAGATATACTTATCTGGTGATAAAATGTCCTGAAAGCTGAGCCTTAGCAAGGCACATCTAACTTGGCTGAATATATAGTCAAAAGGAAGAGTAAAATATAAAAAGAACCCAAACTAATATAGGGAGATGCCTGGAACTAACCCATAGGTAACACTGACAGCATCTGAAGAACTACAGATCCCTTTATTGCCTTAGAACATGGAAGTGTTTCACAAGACCTGCATAGTTCTTAATTACCAGTCAAAAGGGATTAGATAATGAAAAACATTGGAATTTTATTTCTGGATGTTTTGTCTGCGTGTCAACATATCTGCTGTTCGTACTGGTCTCATCATTGCTACTAGTTTGCACATACTTTTTCTTGGGTAAAGAGTAAATAACTGAAGTGCAAGATAATTGTTGAGTAATTTCTTTATATGGAGCAGATGATTTACCTGTACTTCAAAAAAATTATTTGTAGGACCATAAATACATAATTAAAAATGCTTATAATTAAAAAACAGTAACAGTGAAAAGGTTAACCTTCAGTAAAGAACTTTTAAGATTTGTGGGTCTTTTGACTAAACAACTGAGAAATGGAGGAATAAAACAACAATTTCTGTCCTTACTTCATCTTTTTGTCTCTCATAAGTGAAAAATAGAGACAATACATGTACATGTGTCTTACACCACTTACACTCTTTCTGTGCTTCCTAGATGACAAACGCAGATATTGAAACTGCAAATGTGTTGTGTAGGAAGATTTTATGAAGTCCCATTAATCATAGCCCATGGCTTGGTGGGATGGCAAACAATGCTTCAAGTGAAGAACTGCTGCAGTGGTGCAGTGTAAAAAATACCATCTGAGATTTCTGAGTTTTCCCTTCATTGGATAGGAGGTCTGCCCTGATACCTGGGGAATTCAGTTGACCCAAAGTAGACGTCTACATCATACAAACCTGTAGATGCAAGCTACCGAGATTCCCTTTAGCGACAATGGAACAGAGAAAGCATTCCTAGGTATGATTCATCTAAACAGACAACAGTAAGAAATCAGGTGAATGGTGACTTAAATGGCACCAAAAATGCACATTGGAAATATTAGTGTTTCATTTGTTAACCACATTTCGGAGAAAGAAGCGATGGAGAAAGCCATAGAGCAACTGTTAAAATGCCACTTCCACCAACACAATGCATTTGATCAATGAACACCTGGAAAGCATGGAGTTTATTAAAATGTTGAGCAATGCCTTGTGACTCTTTAAATCATGGCTACCTCGGGCAGTGCTGCCATCTGAGATTAGGTAATGATCATTTATTTGGCTTCAGCAACAGTTCTGTGCAATGGTAAAAGGCAATTAGATCTGTATTAATTGTTTTTTAAATTAAGCAGTCATTCTTTATTAGCAGTTTGTGGCATCATGAAGAATCTGTATTGAACAGAGGAATTGTATTGACTGAAGAAAGAAACTAGAAAAATCCATAGTAATCAGTGTAGAATTTTGATCTGTTAATAACTTGGATCTTTGGATTGATTCAGGCCTTTCTTCCTCATGAAATTATATGAAGTATTGAAAATCATCAAACAATATAGAAAGTAATAACATTTCTCTAGGCGTAAAAGTAAAGAGACGAAAATCTATTCCTAGTTACCACGAAAAAGTGTGAGGCCTGCTTTTCTCAGGACCTGTAATAATGAAAAACAGGGACAGTACATTTATACACACTTTATGCAACTTTCACTATTTTTTGTGTTTTCCAGGGTATGAACAGGGTGAAAGACAAAGGTAGTGACAGAGGAACAGGGAATTTCCTGACTTCCAGCACCAAGTCTATCCCTCCACAGTTTTCCCATTACTTGTGGGAACTGTGGACTAAACGTCTTTCCAGACAGAGGCTAAGAAGAAGAAAGAGGTTACTAATGAAAAAGACTTCAAATATTGCAGGATTTGGAAATGGTTTTTTTACTGTTAGTATATAAAACTAGTCTCAAATTAGCTTTGAGTATTATTAGAGTGCCTGTTTACGAAAGCCATCCTTCTAAAACAGTTTCCTTTATCTCTCCTGCTCTAGGCAATTTTGCAGTAGATTATCTAATTTCAGAATTACTACTGGATAAAATGGGAGAATAAGGTGACACTGGGAACTCCTAAGATCTAGTAAGCAAAGTGCCTGTAGCTGTGTTTCAACACTAGGTAAAATTAATAGAAATCTTCCCCACAGCTAATAGCATGTTCATACACTTACGTGTGCTGCTCTGTGGTTGTTGTGCAAATGCTTCTGTAGCCTTTGTGCAGGCTGGAAGCAGCTGATGGCAATGAATTGTCCTTATCTGGTATTCCAAGACCTTTGACTGGATTTCCTGCAAGCAACCAGTGCCTTGATGGCATGGAAAGGAAACGTTGCACACAAAGGTCTTTGGACTGACCCCTGTGTTATGCTGTCTTTACTTTGGTCTTCTCTTCAGCTGTGCTAGTCATTTACTTTCTCAAGTTCATTTCACTCTTAAAAACTGGGATACAAAGGAACTCATTAGATAACTTAAAATAATGAGTTTTGTAGGCTGACATTTACAGAGGGTCATCAGTCCTTCAGAAAGACTGAGGTTATTCTGGGAATGTTTTAAAATTTAATGAGATATTGCCAGTTCAAGTGATTAAACAGAAAAAGCTATCAGAATTTCTGGGAAAGTCCAGTTGTTTCTGTGATATGCTGCAAGTTGTATCTCAGTCTCACTAAGGTGTTGTTACATGCTTAAATCTATTAATGAAGAATTTGAGCATATATGAGAAACTGCAGTGATGACTACAATAACATATAACAAATTTGATTGGGTGGAAACATTTATCTCTCAGGTAAAAGAGGAGCTACAAAATGTAGGAGAACATATATAATATGTTTCCATCTCCATACAATGGCTATTTTCCACAGAGCCATATATTTCAGATGGTTATCCCAATTTGGTTGCGATAGCACATACACCCAGGAGGAAATGCCGATATTTTGGATCTGATCCTGGAAGGCTGCTGCATAATGATCACAGAATCACAGAGTTGGAAGAGACCCACAAGAATCATCAAAGTCCAGCTCCTGGCCTGGCACAGGACAGCCCCAAGAATCATACCATTATGCTGATGGTGTAGTGTATTGTAAATTTGTGTCATATATATGACATTCTCTGCTTTTTGCAGATAATTTAAAAATGCTCTTCCTCCAGAAGGACCTTTGATGCAGGACAGGAACTAAGTTGCACTGAGCCATCCACCCAGTGGGCTTAATGGGACAAGATGCTATTGTGAGCACCTCTCTCTCTTTTTCATGCTCTGGGCATTCGGAGTCACAACAAAACCACCTGAGTACTCACTTAGTTGCTCAGGGACAATCCCAGAGTGACACTGAAATATCCAAGTGATTACAGAAATTGATGCCAAATCAAAGTTGCATATAGTTGCTCTAAGGTTTATCTAAGATTTTTGTTAGGTTACAAGGTGATCCAGCATAATTCAAATGTTTCTTTCTCAAAATACTTGTAACTTGATTATGATTAATGTTCATCATAAGACACCCAGAACTACAAGTTCCTCTATAAGAAAAAAATTCTCTGAAGAGGTGTGCTGTACCGATGGTCATAAAACAAGAGCAAATAACTGTATTTTATCTGACATCACAGATTAACTAACTGTTCATACAGCAACACAGGTCTCTTCATCAGTTTCACAGAGAATGAAGAGTATTCCCAAAGGAGAAAAAAATTAAGATAAACTGCCTTCCAGTCTCATTTGCAGCTTCATTAGTAACAGAATTTCTCTTGTTAAAATGTTTTTGCTTAGAGGAATTACAAATAAAATGAAAGCTTCAAAGAAGTAGAGGGTATGTTTTGCAGGAGTTGTTGATAACTCTGAGATGCTTCTTTCAAAAGATGAAAGGTAATTTTATATTAGAAAAACAGGAACAGCATCTGATTGCATCTCCCGAACTTTAATAGGAAGGTCTTGGCTTAGAGTTTTAGAGCTGTATTACAGGATCTATCACACTTCTGCTCTGTACAAAAAAGAGAAACAAAAAACCCCAAAACAATAACAACAAAAACCCCACAACCAACCCCAAAACTCAAAATTATTTTCCTTGTGTTTTCATAGAAATGAATGAGTTACTGATTTCTGGGGCTCATAAGAAGATCTACCAGATCACTGTGAGACTTAGAAAGTATAAGCTTTACAAATTCCTTCTTGAGAAAAGCAGATTAGCCTGAAAAAAGTGGAGCCAAAGAGTGCCCTTGGCTGAGGTTGCAGCAATACAAAGTAAGTTTTTGCAGTGTAGCTATAAAGAATAGGTGAAATATAGCTTACAAAATAGAACATTATTTCCTTTACATTATTCCTAATCTACTCATGTCCTGTCTATATAGTTGGTAAACATACTACTGAAGATGTAGGTGGTAAGGTTCAGGTTCATATACTTTAGTTAAAGAAACTGAAAATAACAAAAGAGTCCTGAAAAGAGAGCCCTTACAATGTGCTCTTTGACTGCAGATATTTCATCCTCAACCATCAGATTTTAAATGATGGATAGTCCACCAAATATTAATGTCACTAACAGGTGTGTTTCATTTTACAAATAATTAAAAAATATATTTTTTTCACCTCATGAGCCCTGTTCTGAAGCTCTGCAACACCAGCAATGGCCTTACGTATGAAGATATTCAGGCCCACAATACATTCACAAATATAATGTCACATCAGTTTGCATTGTCTGCTGTAATCATACTTAAAAATGACCATAGATCTAGAGCCAAATTGCAACATTCATGTGGAATAAGGGAATCCCAATACTCAACATATCTGCTTGCAATTTAGAAAAAGATCATTATTCGCAGGGTGCAATTTAGACTTTGTTCTCGTCTCATTAGTTTGGAAGAAAATAATTTTTCAATTACTCATCACCTAGAGAGTTTTCAAAAATATAAGTCAATAAACCTTGCTTTCCAAAGAGGCAAACTCGAGATAGCTTTCTCATTCTCTCAGCTAAAATTTCCCCTGTAATATTTACAGGTACGTGAACGAATTTACTGAATGCATGCATACTTTGGTGTTAAAAAAATAGGTTTTTCATTGGAGTGTGCATTCTTATAAGCATTTATAGCTGGAAGGGAGCTTGTAAGTATGGGCTTACTTAAGTACAATTGAAATATGGTGGCAAATGTGGGCAATAGATGACTACAGAGCCTAGTCTCTAAAAATCTACTCTAATTCCTTACAGTTTATTTTTAGAAAGTAGGCTTTGTAGATTCACTATTCTTATCTGCAGTTTATTTGTTCATTTTTTAAGTTAAGTTTAATTATGAACATTTTATGCTAGCATTTTCTGAAAATTTACACGAGGATTGATTTCTATCAATTAAGTACCGGCACATGCTTTTGTGCAACTAATCCCTGAATTTCTGCTCTTGAGGGGGTTTTTTGTTCTTTATTATCTCTAGGTTGTAGTTTCACTTGAAGGCAGCTGAGGGACATGGCTGTGACTTCTCTCCAAACATAAGAAGAAATTTTGCTGAAGAGCCAGCCCAGAATTATACAAGAATACACGAGGTATTCCTCTTGTCTGTATTCTTTTTTCCATGATTTACAACAGAATAATGTTCCACGCTAACAATCAGGCTACCTCATTGAAGTTTCAGACTGAACGCAATATAGTCCATGCAAAGCTGTTGCTTGGTCACTTAACATAATGCCTATGTAATTTTGTATTTTAATGATTTTTCAAAAGTTACTCAGAAAATTGCCAAACAAAGATTTCTTGCACAGATTCTCACAATACTCTCGAATCAATTATTTTCTAAGTAATTTAAGTAAGGTCACCGGAATTAAAAAGAACTGTGTGGACCAGTTTACAGGTCCAGATTCAGCTGCTGACTTCAGGGATCTAACCTGGGACACAGCACCTTGAACTTTCTGGCCTCAGCAGGGTGCTTCAAAGCTGCATTGCAGCCTCTAGGGCCAGAGAAGGGAGCCAGATGCCTGTGGGCTTCATTGGTGCTCAACACACAGCTGCCTACAGCAGGTGCTCACCACAGAGCCTACATTTGTAAACTCTAACTATTCTGTTGTTGGAACCTTTGACAAAATTTATAGAGACAACTAATTACCACATAAGTGATTTCTAGGACGGAATTCTTTCCTGTCTACTTCCTCTGATTGTGGGACTTCATCATCTTTCCTCTCTGAGCAGGCACACGATGCTTTGCTGCTGTTACAGGTTTACATACGCTCTTTCCAAGCTACAGCCTTTGATAAATGATCCAGTATCAGCCTCTAGCCATGAGTCAAGACCCAGGCACATGTATCCCACAGAACAGTGCTTAGCAAAGTGTACTGACTAATGAGGAGGAGCGTGGTAAGTGCCACAGCACCGCACACACTTTATCAGCTCGCCTCGCAGTTCACTCCTCTTCAAAACACAGGCTCCCTGCACAGCTAACCAGGCAGAGCCCATCATCCCACAGCAACCCTTCTTCATGTTGGCTTTGTGTGAACTGCAGTGCTGTTTTGACCCTAAAAGGGAAAAGCATTAAATGTTTTGTGGTTTAGGTTTTTTTGGTTGTGGTTTGGTTTGTTTGTTTGTTTGTTTGTTTTGATTTCTGCTTCAACAGGAGTGTGTTTTTCCTGTGCTTTAAGATTTTGCTCAGAAATTGAGAATTCAGAATACAAAATGAAGTCAAACATCCCTGCCTGGTCTTACTGACTTTTACTGAGACTGCAGATAAAAGCAGCATGCCATCAAGAAATGAGAGATTGAGTTGTGACTAAAAATCAGTGTTTTCAGGCTACATCATTGAAATTTCAGTCTGAAGACAATACAATCTGTGCCAAGTTATTGCTTGGTCACTTAACATAATACCTATATAATTTTAAATTTCAATGATTTTTCAAAGGTTACTTGGAAAATTGTCAAACATAAAGACGTAAAGACATAAAAGACTGTTAAGGAGAATTAAACTGCATGTTGACCAATGTCAAATATCACACAAGAAGTAAGTTTTCTGTCAGAGAATAAACATGATTTAAAATTATTTTTTTACTGAGAACATTCAATTAGATGGCACTTGAAGTCTTCAGAATATTTTTATTTCAGTCCTTTTTCTTCTGACCGAAGGCTTTATCCATGCTCTCAGCGAACTTGACGTATGATTCGAAGAATAATACCACTTTTCTAGGAATGAAACTGATGAGACAAACACTGAGTTTGGTTTGTTGGGGTTTTTTTTAGAAAAATGTACTCTATAAATGAAGAAATCATAAATCCATTATATTTGCTCAATAATTCTGATGTCTGGCAATAAACTCATTTGGTGTTTCCCCCATGTTATAAGTGGGGGAAACAAATGACAGACCAAGCCATTTTGTGAAAGCCCAGACAGCAGTGGAGGCAGTGGCTGGAAGCAGACAGTTCTAGCCCAGGCATTACTCTCAGAGTACCATCTCGTGAAAATTCTTGAAATTTCTATACCCAACTGTAACTTAAGACATATATAAGAGATAGAAGGGGCCAGAGCAATGCTATTTACCTAAACTATTAAAAAATTAAAACCACTATTTCTTCAAAGCTGGGTACCTATAACTGGATTGACTGCAGGAATATTAACTAAAGGACTGCTTTTACTAAACATTTCTGCTGATTTTACAGTCATGTGGCAGAGGAAAGAAGGTAATGCTAGAAGACAAGTCACATGCTTACGTTTTCAAACCAAATAAGCGTACAGTTGGAGGCATGATTAGATAAAACTTTTCCTTTTTAACTGCATTCAAGATCTTGTTGGCTACATACTCTGCATCATAAACAGGAAGCAAAAAAGGTTTTCTGTGAAACAAGAAAAAAGTGTTAGGGAATTATAAAACTTTGCTTTTGAGATGATACTAGCACATACGTAATAGGCTAATTTATGAATTTTCCCCCTTCCTCTCAAGTAGTCTTGAAAAGGAACCTCCAAACCTCTTTGTTCCTGCTATCATCAGAATAAATTGAAAACACTTTGAACTTTAATGACTTCAGAGTAAGCAGAGCTTAACGAAGGTAATGCCCACCGTGATTGCAGAATTTGAAAACTTCCAAGCTTAGCCATACAATATTCTCTTCTACGCATGAAGTTCTGCCTTCTGCACACCTCCTCCTTTTCTACTGTAGGTGCTGAGGTGACAGCTAAGTAGATCAGAACTAGGTCTGTCTCCAGCCTGGAGACAGGCTGTGCTCTGCATGACATATGCCACTGCAGAATGATCAATGGTGGAAGCAGGAGCAGAGCACTGAAAAACCAAAGCCACTGGTACTGTGCTACTACAGTGGCTAATTCAGGGCTTGCAGCCTCTCCAATCACTGCACCCATAGTCACCCACCAGATACTATCAGCCACAGGTATTCCCTCTCAGAGAAGCACAGTACCTGCTAATACAGATCATGGGGCACAGTTAATAACGACAGGTCATGGGTATCCTGGCAGCCATAACTAATCACACTGCCAAAATTACTTGGGGCAGAGAACATCAGCAGGGTCCCTTCTACTGACAAATAAGGCTCCCTTTAACCCTTAAATACTGCTGTGCATCCCAAACCTCTCCATGACTGTGAGGTTATTACACAGTCCTTGTTGTACCTGTTAATTATTAACTGTATGCAAGACTTGCATTTCTTTAGATCAAAAGACATAGTTTTATGTGCCAATAGGGCAAAAATACTGAATTGAAAATCAAATTAACCAGCTAGAGACTGAATATGGTATATCTTGTGAGTAGTGATTATTTTTTACACACGAAATAGTATACAATCTGTTTTACTTACGCGCTTTGGAAACCTCTACTTAATTTAGTCTTAACAAAATAAGGACAAATGATTGTGGTTTTAATGCCATGTTTTCCTGCATGATAAAGTTCTGAATTTATGGCTTCCATCATTCCAACGACTGCATACTTGCTTGCAGCATAATCTGGAAAGTGAAGAAAGAAGAAATATTCAAAATCTCAAAAGCACCACAGTAAATGCTATATAGAGAATCCAATTTCTTGTAATAATATTTAATGCATTATATTATTTAGTTCTATAATTAGCAGTCTTGTAATTATTGTTTTAAGCATATTGGTGATGCCAAATCTGAAGGTTAATGACTCTTCCCGTGGTTGATGCACAGTTGTCTAAGGATAAGATTAATCCTTTCCAGAGCAGTTTTTTCAGTGTACCATAGAGTGATATAGGAAGATGAGCTTATTCAATATTTTAGGTACATTTTCAGATACTCATATACAAACGTTCTTTCGGTTCAAATGTCTTCACCCTTCAAAATCACAGGTTACATTTCAGAAAGAACCCTTTCTAGTGTTAAAATATGAATACCCTACTTATAAATGCTGCTTTAGCCTATTTCTTCTGATTTACCCTGCAACTTTTTGTTTTGTTTTCCCAGGAAGACTGAATCTGATCAGAATTTTATTTTTGATGAATGTACAAAACTCCATCCTTGGAGATAATCAAAACTTGCCCTCACACAGCTGTGTGCAATCTGATCTAAGTTGGGCCTGCTTTTATTTGGGTATGTGGACCAAATGACCTTCAGAGATTGCCTACAACCAAATTATTACACAATTTTACAACTGGAAGAAACTGCTTTAATATAGTGATTTACATGTGGTTTCCTAAAGTTTTTTCAAATGTTTGTGAAAATAGTTATTAGATACAATGAAATCCCATTTTGCTAAAAGAGTGATTCAAAAACTGGTATCAGAGATAGTTTGCTATTCTTCAGGAGTTCACCCACAGTGAATGATGGAACCATACAGCCTAAAAATAAATAGCTAAGGTGTAAAAGGTTAAAACATGGATAGACAGATCCACCCCCATAATTTTTACAGTTATATGATGAAACCTGAATGTAACCTATATTATCAATACCAAATATGATGCAATGATAACAGGAGGCAAATGAACACTACAGTAACATCATCAATCAGCAGAAGAAACAAGAGACACTTATTACACTGAATTTCACAGTCTTACAGGGTATCCTCAGAGATGCAACCAACATGTAAGACAGGCTTGAGGAAAGACTGGGCAGCAGACCCAGAGTGATGAAATAGACAGGACCACAGCAGACTGTTCTCCTGAGGGAAACAGCTGAGCTTTTAAAGAGCTTAAAACTTTATTCAAATTAATTTTATTGAAAATTCTGCCAAAACACCTTCTGGACCTGAAAATCATTTCCCAGCTAAATATATAGTTCCATATATAACCCATGTCTCAGGACTCTGAAGAAAACCTGGCGTGAGAAAGAGTTAAGACAACCTGTATGCAGAGGTTCTTCCCATTGCACACACACGAGCTGTATTGTCCTTTTTCTGCGGAGATAAGACAGTCTGTAATCAGGCAGTAAAATCTGCAGTGAGCTCATGGTGCCACTTGGGCAACGTGACAGCTTCACACTTGTTGGGACACCATCACCTTTGGCATCCTCAGGTTCTTGTCAGTATAGGCTGCTTAAGCTGAGCATTTATTAGGTCTCAGAGAAAAGTCATTAGTATGTAGATCTAATTTGTAATGGCAGTTGACAATACTAACCTGTCAGTCTGTAGAGTCCCAGTAATCCGCTTGCACTGGCGGTGCTAACCAGGTGCCCACGGTTACAGGCCATCATGGCCGGAAGAAAAGCCTTGCAAGTCTAAGGGAATATTAAAAAAACCCTTTGTAAATAGACATGCCAAAAGAGTTGCATTTCAAAATTAGGCTTTACAATCTGATCTGCTTTCTGGGGCTCCATTATACAAGAAGCCCAACTGACCTTTTATCTCTGTAACAATTTTTAAATGATAGACAGCATTCCCTTGAATGACTGCCCTCTGTCTGGTGATCTAACAGCATTAAAATCGTCTTATTAAAAGTAGCAAAGTTTCTATTTTCTCTGCCTCCTGGTTCCTCACAATTTGAGTCTATTTGAGACATCTGCCAAAGGTTTGGTACACAAGAGGGAGCTAGAAGTCAACACATCAAGGGAAGTTCAGCTGCCTGTGGGCCCTTTCTTTTGCAAACTGAACTGCCGGACAACTGCAGCACCCCAGACTACCACTGTGGGTGACAGTAACTAAGGAGAATGCCAGTGTTTTGTGAAGGGTTAGATTAAAAAAAGAGAGATGAGCAATAATAATTCTTGTTTCCATAGCTGAGATGTCCTATTTGACTCCAAATGTGAGTGCCTAGTATAACATTATCCTCCTGCCCAATGTTTCTTCAGACCTGCTGAGAGAACATCTCTCAGTCCCTTTGCCTCAAGTATTTGGAAGAATGATGCAGTGTGGCTGAGGAATGTTTAGAGGACTCTTATTTGCAAGGATCTTCTGTTGAGAACTGCCTTTTAACAAGGGAGTTGCAATGCAATACTGTTCCCTGATGCAACCTGTTGACTCAAGCATATAAACAAAAAATGCAAGAGGGGGCAAGAGTAGCACTCCCTCACAGCAAAACCTACTAAAGGTCAACTGAGAGACCAAATAACAGCAAATTGCTTCAGAGGTAAGAAAATAAAGATAATACTTACTACCCAGATTACTTTTCTAAGTACTTAAGTCAGATGGTGACTAGGAATGAAAGCAGCCTGAAGACTGACACGAACGTGTGCAGCAAAAAATGGCTGGAATAGAATGACTTAGGTTGGAAAAGACCTTTAAGATCACTGAGTCCAACTGTAAATCTAACACTACCGAGTCCACCACCAAGCCATGGTTGTGTCTCCCTAAATGCTACAAGTCCCTTAGACAAAGCCTTCCAGTGTCAGCAAACAGGGAAGTCACATGCCATCATGTCAGCACTAATTTCCACCACAGCTGTTACAGGTATGTTTCACAGTACAATTGCAAAAACTTTTGATTTACCAAAGTGCTCAGGCAGGTTTGTGTTAATATTACTGAAACGTAATGGGGAGACTGTCAATTTGGCGGGTTTCCAATTAAAGGATGATTATGAAAACATATTCTCCCCCAGTCAAGGCCCTTCACATCCCTATTCCAAACTGGGGTTTTGAGGTAGACACCACGATGGTGATTTTCACATGAAAACACTTGACTCTACCTTTTGATCACCCAGAAAAAAATAGAAATCAACAAAAAACTTTACCCAGACTTGAGAGAAGAAGTTGATTCTTAAGGTCTTTTCAAAATCTGCATCTGAAATGTCACAGAACTTCTTTCCAAGTGCTCTGCCAACATTATTAATTAGAATAGTAACATCCCCAACTTCTTTTTTAACCTAAATAAAAAAATATAAACATTAAGTTTTAGAAGGTATCCTTGCCTCTTGTGTTTCATTTATGAAAATGATATTTGCAGTAATCGATATATCTCTGAAAACGTAAGTCCTTCAGAACTGTTGTACTGCTTCAGATCAGAGGTCCATCTGAGCCTCCTAGCCCTTGTCTCATGGTGGAAAGCAATAAAAAAAGGATGAGGGCTCTAAGGTCTCCAGTGCACCTAACTTTTCACATGCTGCAACTTCGGAGTTTCCTGAGAGACATAAGGTATCAATATCTTTGTGTTTAGTGTATCCCAGTGATTCTCCACTCCATCTCACTCCCTGAATTTATCTAATTGCTCCCTGAACTCTGGAATACTTTTGGCTTCCACAGGAACATAAGGTAATAAGTTACAAAGCTTTAGTGTGCACCATGAGTGTGCTTTAACTGCAATTGGAACATTTCTGGTCCCCTGTTTTTGGTATTGTGAGAAACTGCATTCCTCAGATGAACCTGTTCAACCCCTTTTCCATGTAATTTCTACTGAACTGGAAAGAATTCAGCACAGGTTCCTGGGGATACAAATCCTCTGAGTAAAAAAAGGGCCTACCATGAAATAGATAGATAACATCACTTGGAAAGAAGGCCAAAATCACCATTAGCTCCATTTATTATAAAAATATTTCAGTTTATTATAGCAAGATTTTGTCCCAAGATTTAGATTTATATCAAAGCAGATGGCCAAGATTTATTCATAGCGTTAAGAATCAGTCTCACTGCAGAGATTCCTGTGCTAGAGGTGAGTGGTTATCTGGTGTCTCAAAAATTATAGTATGACTACAAAAGCATAAAAATCCCACCCATGCTGCTGTCTGGCAATTTGGGAACAGGTACTTCAATCTGATATCCCAACATCTGACCTTCCTTTGGCTTTCTCAGGGAACCTTAGCGTTCAGTGCAGACTTGCTTCATATTTCTTCAGCTGTGCCAGGTTTAATCCTTGTCGTAGAAAAACAGGGCTCAGATATCAGCACCACTCCCCCTGCACAAACGAATGCAAATCTATACACTACTGAGTATGGCAGGAATATTCAGTTCTTCCTTTGTGGGATGTATCTATGCTTTCCTCCCTGCCATGTCTTTTAACTGCTGTGTCAGTCCATATGATGATTCTCTTTTTCTTCACTTGGCAACGTAGCTTCACCAATGGCAGCATTTTATTTAACCTGGCTTCATTTGACCTGTTTACTCACCACTACAAAATACATGTGAAGCTTGGCTTCCATTTGCAAAAAGTCAAGCTGATTGTTCTATATTATGAATTCTGTCAGGTGTCTATTAATTCCTCTCTTTTTTTCTGATTTCCAGCAATTTTCTCTAAGACAAGATCGCAGTTTGTGGCCTCTCAAGTGCACTTTAAAACTGGCATATTTGCTACTATTTGTTCCTGATCACCTGTTATAGCAAAACACACCTCCCACATTCCCAGCCTATCAGATCCATATCTGATTTCCTTCAAAATTCCAAACTGGACACTGCCTGATCCTGAAAATTAGTTGCTCTTCACTTCACCAGTTTAATTTAAAAACCTCTTCTTTAGGGACTTTGGTGGTCTGATTTGCTTCCTAGAAAGAAAGCTTTCATTATCGGAAAATACCTAGGTTTTTTTGCAGTGAGTATATCAAAAATAAACAATTAATTTAACTTTTTTTGCTATTGCTTTATCTTCTGTGTCCAAGATCAAGACTTCTTATACTACCAATCAAAAAGTTGCAGGTATTTCCAAGAGTAGAGGAGGCCTCTAGATGAAAAACTCTTGATCTAAGAAAATTTCTGGCTCCAGAAAGAAATGACTGTTCAGTACATGCAAATATCTATGAAGATGTTGATATTGTTAACAATAATTTAATACCTTAACAGGAATTTCTGAATTTTAAACAGCTCTTCAAGTTTCTGTTGGTAGGTCAGTCTGTGCCCTGCAGTATAGTGTTTGCTGATATGGGCACAGCAAATTCTGCAGGCTGGAGCCCTGAGGCTGATTCAGTTAATGTGTTTGGAGATTAAAAATTACTGGAGAGCACAAAACAAACCTTTTGAGACTGTGTTAAACTAAGAGCAAACAAATAATTTAAAAACGTTCAGCATCGACAATGAAGTCCAACAAAGAAATTATCTACATAAGCCTAAATTACACATTTTGGTGGGTGTCTTTGCAAGAAGCAGATAGCCTTTATGGGAACAGAGCTTAACTTAATGCCAATTTAAAATGTTATCTTTTAAAGAGATTTGATCCTGGTAAATTCTAAGGTAAGTTTTTTGGTTTTTTTTTTTTTTTTTTTTTTACTTGCAAAAAATACGATTTGAGAAGAACTGCTGTTTTTTTATAGTATAATTTCAAATAAAGATCTAATGTCATATATGAAGTATTGACCACAAGTTGCTCAGATAGAGCTTTCATCTTGCTTGGAAGTGATAACAGATACCAAGATTGCTGAAATTACTGTGATTGCTACTCCAAAATTGTTGCAGTCATTATCAATGTCTCACACAGGTGTCAGGATCACATCATCTGTACTGACAAAGCCATTGGCAAAGATAATCCTCCTCAAACACTGCGTGTTGTGTCAGCACAGGGTCAGCAGTCAACAACTTGCTCATCTGTGCTTACATGCCATTATGATACAATAAATACACCACTGCCCAACTAATACTATGGTACCACCTGTGGTTCTTAACATTTAGCACCAATGGCCCTAAGTGGAATTTTTTGCTGTGCACAGTCAGCTGTCTGTGTCCCAAATGGTGCTAACAAGGGTGAGTAAAATAATACCTTGCTGACTGCAAACGTAAGAATTACAGTTTCAGGTACTTACAGATCCTGAACCCAGCTTACCTTTTAGAAGCACTTTTCATCGGGAATACTTCTTGAGGGAAAAAAAAAGTTTCAAACTTTCATAGCCAAGCTCAGAAGGAATGAATTTGTTTTGGTTAAAATTAAAAGCAGCAACCACAGAACAAAGAGCCCTCCCTGACAATTTTCATAGATAATTAATGTTACATTTCAAGGTTATTCTGAAACAATCTATCAACATTCACATGTCATGAAATATTTTAGCTAATTTCTCTGATGTATGCCTTCAGACACAGAATGTCAAAGATGTGACCTGAGAGTCATGTTTCCAAGAACATACACTGTTCAAGTGTATTCTTCTTCACCAGAAGAAGAATATATACTTGGATAAAGTGGTAGACTGGATAACTGTATTATAAGCGAGGCTATACTGGGAAATATTTTCAGGCAGTTTAAAGACAAGGAAAAAGTAATAATGTCAATGTCCAATTTCTAGACTCTGACAATAATAAAAATAAATAAATAAAAAAAAAGGTTAAAAAACGTAGGTCAGCCCAGCTAAAGGATTTAATTTGAAATGGAGTTCTTCTCTACCTTACCTCTCAGCTATATTGACCAAAAAATAAAGCAAAGCTGAATCATCATTTTGACTGGAGACCCTGATGACATTTCTGAAAACATTACACACCACGTCACCCTTACAGAACTAGTTTTCTAAACAAATGGGCAAAGGAAAAAACTCCCTCCTTACAACATATACTGATTTTTTCTTATTTTTAAAATTTTGTCTTGATGTCTTGAAGAAATTTCAAAGCCTTAACAAATATATGGAGATAATGTCTGCTGCATGTTTTACCGTACTCTTAATCTAAAAGAGGTTACCGTCTTACAATGAAGACTGAAAATACATAAATCTGAACAGAACATCTTAAATCCAGTTACTTTATTGAGAACACAGTTTAAGTTCCATCTAGAAGTGACTTGCTGAAAAGAGAAATCATTGCCCTACATGATTTCTTATCTTTAATGAACAGTAAGTTTCTAAACAGTAAGTTTAGAAACAGTAAGTTTTCTAGACAGTTTTCTAAACAGTAAGTTTCTCAACAGTAAGTTTCTAAAAAAAAAAAAATCAAAAAAAAAATCAAAAAATCCATAGCATATACTATTAAAAAGAAGCAAGAAAAATCAGAAGCAGCCAAATCTTACCTTGTCTGCCTTTTCATAGACATCCTCCCTACTGCTGCAGTCACAGTGGTAGACAAACACCCGGTTAGCTCCATTTTCTTGGGCTAATCTGCATGTTTCTTTGTTGCCTTCGTCATCAATGTCCCAAAGAACCAAAGTTACTCCCAAAGGAGCAAATTTTAAGGCAATCTGCCTTCCAATCCCATTTGCAGAACCAGTAATAAGAACTATTTCAGCAGCAAAATATTTTTTTTGTAGAGGACATATACAGAAGAGATTCTCAATAAATAAATAAATGAAAAATTTCAGGTACTGTAGTAACTTCTTGATGCATCTGAAGTTGAACATGATTTCTCAGGTACAAGCACCGCTCTTCTGTAATTAAAATCCAGAAATAAAATACATTAGGACACTATGTTATTAGATATTAGATATTAGATATTGACTTGATTAGATATTAGATATTGACTTAAAAAAGAGATTTGAACTTCAAACAGCCATTTCTTTTGCATTGTTCTTTTGTGCAGGTACAAAATACATTATTAAAGATTTGCTTTTTGTGAAATCTACCGGCTCCTTACTAGCAGAATTAAAGCAAATATCTTCTGCTAGATCTTACAGACGTTCTGTTTCATCCTGGGGTCCTCAGCTTCCGTCTCCTTTTTTGAAAACGTTTACTGACATACATTTTATACAGGTATGTTGAGTCAATAGCTACAGAGCACTTTGTTTTCTCAGCAAGGTGATGTTAGCTGAACAAAAAAGTACCGAACACACTGGTGTGGTATCAACCTTAGGGGAAGGAAGGTGTCCTCCTTAGCGGGAAACCTGACCTGCTGTTTCGGGAGGCAGACAGTGGGAACGTTCCCGCACTGTGTGTATTTTCCAGGGCCGTCCGGCCGAAATCACACCACGTATTCCCATCTGTGAGCAAACTGCCAGTCACAGGCAAAAGCCTAGGAGTTAGGAGCCTTCATTGTCACCCTGCATTAGACCGTACCACTTCCTTTACGGTGTTTGGGGCGGGCAGGGCGAGGCTCAGGAGAAGGAGCGCCCGCCACCGACCCGCCGGGCCCGTCCCGCCGCCGGGCTGTGTCCCACGGGGGGAATCCAATCTCCCCGCGGCTGTGGCACCCTCGCTCCCTCCCCACCTGCCCCGACCCTGCCCCAGCGGGGCTGAGCGCCCCTCGCTCCGCCCGCCCGACACCCCCGCCGGGCCGAGGCCGCGATGCCCCCGCGATGCCCCCGCTCTCCCCCCGCGCTCACCGCCGGCTCCCACCTGCCCCGCACTGCCCGCCCGCAGCGACACAGGGATGGCACTGCCCGGCCCGGCCCGCCCCAAAAGTTGTGCTCCGTGCGGGGGCGGAGGCGGCCCGGGGAGGTGCGGGGTGCGGAGCCGCGGTTGGGACAGGCGGCGCTTCCCGGTTGGGCGGGTGCGGGATGCCGGATGCCGGTGGGGCTGCCTGGCTCTGCGGCAGAGAGTACCAAACCTTGCCGAGGGCACCTGTCGGGTTGCGGCCTCAGCTACCGGGTCGACACATCCCGCTGTTGCTGCTGCAGCCACATCGGCGACCCCCCCAGCGCCAGGCCGGCCCGGCCATCGGGAAGGCACTGCAGGCTCCATCCCGCTTGGAGAACCACCTAGCCTAGGGCTTGGGTAGCAAGTGCTCTTTCCTCCCCCTGCTGCTGCTACTTCGTTGCAGTTACAAAGTTAAAAACTTCTTACTTTACATCATAAATTACTGTTCACCAGCTTGCCGGGATGGGAGCAAAAAGGGAGATGCTGATCATAAACGTGTCTCCCTAAAAAAAGTGAAACCCCACCTTTATCATTGTTTCTTGTGGGTCCTCAGTTTTCAGTAATGCTTTATCCAACTTTAAAACCACAGTTCCGCACCACTGTGGTATCGCTGTTTTTTCCTCAAGTTTGAATAGAAAGCCACACTCCTAAGAATATGCTTTTCCTGTGGTGTTATCTGCTTGTCTTGATCACCTTGACATCTTCCACCATGTTGACGTAAAAAGGGAATGAAGAGAGCACTACTTTATTTGCTGTACTTTGCATTTTGAATAAGTGATACATAAAGTCTCATTTATCAGCAAGTCATAGAGGGAAATAATTTGAAAAAAGTCACACTGTACTGTGATCCATATAATTCAGATTAGACTTCATGGGGATTCACAGGGTGTTTTTCAGTTAAGCTGAAATAAAATCATAGTTCACATAATTTGATGTAATTTACACCAAGAAATACGGTGGAAAATTCTAGGCTCTCAGTGTGAATAGTTGTATGGAAGGGATGTACTTTCATACACAATTAACTGCTGAATATTCTATTTAGGTGCCAGCAAAAGGGCAAGATGAAATACACACACTGAGGCTGAAGGCAGATCTAAAAGCCTCAGTGAGCTGTGGTTCCAAACAAGGCACCGAGCAATGCAAAACAGGTGGGTAAGGTAACTCGAAGTGTCTCACTGTAATCGGTAATTACATGGCAAAATCAGCAGACTATGGTGAGGGGAAGTTGAAGTGATTCAGCAATGAATTCCTGGTTATGAAACAAACCAGAGGTGATGCTTGTTTATTATGATGACATTTCAAGGTGAATAGCATTGGTGAGGAACAGTGTTGCAACCAGAACTTTGCAAGCTGTAAGTTAACAGGAGGAGCCTGTTTCCAAAGCCCATGGTTATGCAAGTATGAAAACACATGACTTCCCTGCTCTTACTCTGAACTGACCTAAGAAGCAGCTAGCTATCATTCTATACATAGTGAAAATGACAATGATGATTAATTATTTGTATACCTAAATTAGAGGCTTCGGTCTGGTAGTGGAGTGTTACAGCTTATTGCTAGCTTTAGGTAAGGAGTGGATTTGGCAAGTGACAAGGGACTTGGGGAACACACAGTGATTTTGGATAAGTTACATTCTGCTCACCAATAGCTAGATTTTATGGCTACTTTGGAGACTTGTTTAGCATTTGGAGATTAAATGTCTGTGTGGCTTTTTGTCTTAGTTTTGTCCCAGTGTTTCATAACACTGAATTTTCTTGTCAAACAGAAACTTATTTTTGTGGCTGATGTACACACCACAACTTGTCTCTAGCCCCAAACTTATCCTTCTCCCCAATTAACTTCAAATTTGTACCAGAAGCTCCATTTCCAAATGATATTAAAAGCACAGGAATGAAATTTTCCACAATGTTTGGCTGCATTGGAAAAGAAAAAAAAAAAAAAAAACAAACCTGCAGCCTGAGAAGCCATGAAAACAGCCTGATGAGTGGTATTTTTATTATTAACCTTCCAGTAACAAACCTTCATGTCTGGCATTTGTTTTAATCATAACAAAGCTATTAAACATATGACACAGAGCAAATGCACAAATAAATAACTATAGGTACACCACTAACAAGATCAAGAACACAAATAACCACACAACTGAGAATGCCTAAAGATGACAATAAACCAGCATCTTTATGTACCATGGAACATTTTGTATATGCTCCATGTTATGAGAATTTAGGAGAAGTCATAGGAGGCTGTCATGGTTTAACCCCAGACAGCAACCAAGCCCCATGCAGCCGCCCTCTCACTCCCCCACCAGTGGCATCAGGGAGAGAACTGGGAGTGTAAAAACTAGAAAACTCACGGATTGAGATAAAGACAGTTTAATAGGTAAAGCAAAAGCTGTGCACACAAGCAAAGCAAAACAAGGAATTAATTCACTGCTTCCCATGGGCAGGCAGGTGTTCAGCCATCTCCAGGAGAGCAGGACCCCATCACAGGTAACGGTTACTTGGAAAGACAAACTCCATCATTCCAAACATATCCTCTTCCTCTTCCTCCCCCCACTTTATATAATGAGCTTGATGTCATATGGTCTGGAATATCCCTTTGGTCAGGTGGAGGCAGCTGTCCCGGCTGTGTCTTCTCCCAGTTTCCCATGCACCCCTACCCATCTCACCAGTCTGGCAGTACGAAAAGCAGAAAAGGCCCTGGCTCTGTGTAAGCCCTGCTCAGTGATAACAAAAAAACTAAAAGCATCTCTATGATATCATCATTGTGCTCAACACAAATTCAAAACAGAGCTCCATACTAACCACTGTATTAACTCTACCCCAGGCAAAACCAGCATGGAGGCATATAAAATTAAGCCTATCAAGTCTATCAAGCAAGTCTGTTACAATAAATCAATATCCTTTTTTTCTGTGCATAAGAATTGGTTAAACACATATGCTTTCATACCAGCCATGTAGTGAGGGATTTGGCTAAGGTTTTCTCATGGTGTAAATCCTCTGGCACACTTGCAATTGTCAAGTTGACAGAGTATTTCAGTAAGTATATGCTTGTTGTGATACATGGAATTATCAAAACTGCTATAGGCCTTGCATAGTAAATATAACTCATTGGCATTTTGATTGGTAGCAAAGATTAGAGAATTACCTCCTATTCTCCAGCCATCTGGACCTTTTGAATCTGGGGATTACACACTGACCAATATCTTTTTGTTGCTGGGAATGTGAAGATGCTTACTTGCAAGGTGCTGACGTGAATGATATTGAAAAGCATCTTCACTGCTGGGCTGCAACAGGTGCTTTAATATTATTAATTACTAGTAATTAACTATACCCCATATATTTTATATATATATATATATATTATATATATATACCCCATATATACCCCATACTATACTTTTTATAAATAGTTATTAAGTAATTATAAATATATTAATAAGACATTTGTGTACTATCAGCATATAAAACTACCATAAAAAAAGAAAAACATGGAGTAGTAAATGAGATTACTTTATGAAATGCTTGATGAAATATTATTTTATTGGGCATCTGAATGACTTGTGTGGTTTGTATTTTAAAACTTTATATAAGCCATTCATATGCTGCCAAAAGATGTGACAAAAATGCTTTGATAAATACAGACAAATTGAATTTTAATATTTTCTGACAAAACTAATTTCTGCAGACTCTAACAGTTCTTTAGATCTCTGTTGAATTTGTGGAAGAATGTTATTTGTCATTCAAAATGGTTTGATATCGTATCAATTCTGACAATTAATGTAGTTGTGCAGATCATGTGGCAATTTGCATTTATATGTTTGGAGAAAAAAACCCATAAAAAATCTCACAGATATACCTAGTTCCTCAAAAAGTGAACTGTTTAGCACTGATAAGGACTGGTGAGGAAAAGCAGCTCTCTGCAGGTCACTAGATCTGTTGAAGTTAGTGAATTGATACTATTAAAATAAAATATTCAGGTTTATAAAGATAGCAAATTTAGTCATGTGATTTACTTTTAAGATTAATCCAATATAGTACACAGGATTAAAGGTGGGAATCCCTTATGTGACAGCCTTAACTCTCCAGACTTAATAATTTTAACTGTCAGAAGGTCAGGAAAAGCTCCAATTGTTTCCTAAATGTGTCAAAACCTACTTCTGATCTGTAGAAGTCAAAGGCATGAGCCTGAAATCTCACCAGATAGCTATGATTTATGTTAAATGAAATTGAAGTAGTAGTTTTATTAATTCATCAGCAGGAAGTAAAATCCTCAGTGCAAACTTTATGCATCCCTTGGATCTATGCATATTCTTTCTAAAAGCTTTGGCCAAAACTCAGAAGTACAACAGAGCACCCAAAAGGCAATGCACTCTGCAGTGAACCTGTCATCCTACCTCAAGATGAAGTTCATCAGTGATACAGGGGAAGTGCTTGTACACATTTTAAATGAAGAAGAAAAGGAGTTTCAGCTCACAAAACTTGTATCCTGTATCCTCACACAAAGCATGAGTTTCTTGCACTCCAAGGAATAGCAGGGAACAGAGAGGACCTATTTTCCTGTTCTGTTTTTTTTTTCTTTTTCCTTCTAATTGGTTCAGTATACTTCATCACACAGTCAGCCAAACTAATTTAATCTCCATCGAACTGAAAATTAGGAGCTGCTGTATCAGATAGCTGCTGTAAAACTGCTGGGACATAATCCTGGAAATAACATTCTGGCTAGAAGAGGGTTTGTACTTCTCATAAGCATTTGAGAAAGACTTCTAGTAGTGTAAAGAAAATCCTTAGCTAATGAATTTCAGCCATCCTACAATGGGCCTGCAGAGACATTTCAGCTCAGATCCCTATAGCTTTGTAAATGCGTAGGGATCCCTCTGCAGGCCTGTGCATGCCACATCTATCTTCGAAGGTGTTGCTTATCTGCATCCACATCTAACCCCGCAGGTGCTTAACGTTCTGCCAATTGGTAATTACAACGTCAGTCAAAGGGCAACTCTACCCCGTGACTGAGCAGGCA